ATTTCCTCGAATGTTGATATTGCCTTAGCCGGTAGCTGAGAGTACCATGTTAAGGCCCCTCCTGTCAACGTCTCGCCAAACTTCTTCAGCAGTACCGACGGTACCTGTTCTTTTGATAGGTCGTTGCCCTTCACAGCGGTGACGTAGTGGATCAGATGATCCTCGGGATCTGTGGTTCCGTCATATACCCTCATGTAGGGAGGCATCTTGAAGGTTTTTGGGGTGGAGTGAGGGGCGGCTTCTTCAGTGTATGGTTGTTCAACGAACCTTCCCACGTCGCGTTTTGGTAGCAACTTGGGAGCACCGGGGATCTTGTCGACCCTCTCCTGATGTTCCTTCATCTAACCGCGGAGCGCCTTGTTTTCATTTTCCATTTCTTCCATCTTCTTTAGGATGGCTGTAAGCGTGCCATCGTTGGTCTGTGTCTCGATGGGTTTGTTATTCGCTAGTGCAACTTCCGGTTCACCCACGGCAGCAGTGGTACCTACCGTTGGTGTACACCCGATGTAACTTTGTGGTGACCTCTCAACCAAGCCACTTAGACTGCTTGTTAGCCATCTTTCCAGTAGCTTCTTGACCGCTGAGGGTGCTTCCGTAGCCGTAGATGTGGAAGCTCCTTTTTCGTGCAAGATCGTCAGACCTTCGGATGAGGAAGGTGAGATCTCTGCACCCGGTGTGATGCTAAGGGTTGCATTCAGGATGCCATCGTCATTGGCCTCGTTGAGAGCGCCAAGGAGATTGGTAGTGACACCCAATATAGCTTTCGATCTTGTGTTATTTTCGGCCATTTTCTGTTTTTGTGTGGTGTAGAGAGTGGTAGTTGGTTGATCTCTAGGTGGATACTATGGTTTTGATTCTCGAAATCCCCACAGACGGCGCCAAATTGTTTAGCTCAAAAATTATATTCGTACTTTATAAGCTTAAAAACAATCGAAAATATATAGGGGTAAATCGTAATCAAATATAATAAGCCCAAGAGATGATTATTGCTTCAAGAATGTTTGTAGATATGTAAGTGCGTAGTGAAATAGACTTAGCTTAAGAGGGAAGCAATGGTTGGAAAATCAAGAAAGAGATAAGAGAGAGAGATAGAGAGAGAAATTGTATTATCCGAGAATAACCATCCCCTTATTACAATGTGGAGGTCTCCTTTATATAGTAGAAGACCTCTCTCGAAATAATCAAAAAGGTACAAAAGTTGGTGGCTTCTACTCAGTAAAAAGGTCAGGCACTAAACGACGTCACTTCTTCTTCACCAACTTGGGTCGTGCCCTCACTCGGGTCGCCCTTATTATAAGGGACGTGCCCATTTGGCGTGGGGTCGTTATGAGCCAAATTTAACCTTATACAAATGTGTTATTAGTAAAATAATTTACCAATATAAAACAGTATATTTATGACGCGTGGCTAAGTGAAAGAAAGCAAACACATTAATATACATCTATTTATTTGGCAGTTTGTTAATGATTAATTTGTGTACTGATCATTGATCACAGACTACAAGAAAACAGATTAAAGAAACAGGATTCATGCAATCTCTATTAATTTGGGCCCTCTCTTTTACTGTTTTACATAAACGCTTTGCTGATTCCATATTAAGACAAAACCACCACTTTAATTTCTAATGTCATGATAATTGTTACTACTACTAATTAAGGAAAAATACATAGATTATCACCTGAGCTTGTCCCCAAATCCCTGTTACACATCCGTAGACTACGGAAATAATTTTATACACTCAACCTTTCAAAAATGTGTCTATGACACACCACTTTTGTATTTGACCACTTTTTTTAAATAAATATATGTCATGCACCAATTAAATCGTGAAACGTGTCATGAAGTTAAAAGAAAAAAGAAAAAGAAATCCATCTTCTTCCTCGATGAAAACCAACCACCATGGCTGCTACAACCTTCATCTCAGTTTCAAGATCAGAGAATATGAATACAAATCAACAACCAAAGTTTTCAACATCAACCTTAGATTTCTTCAAGTTTAACCCAACTCAAAAATTCAAAGTACCCTTCTTCGGCCTTCTTAAACAAATTTCGATCCAACTACTTAGTNATGAGTTTCAATTGAAATGGAGCTTCTAATATACAACTAATTAAATCCCCAAACACCAATTTCAACAAACAACAACAATTTTAAATAATTAATTTCTAGGTCTTGCGCAATTTGTAGAAACAACATGGATGAGAACGGGTGAAAACAAAAAATCTTAAGACGATTTTATGTTGGAAAAACAAAACCCACCATCAAAAAAGAAGCAGAGATAGGTACGGAAGAAGGGTAAGGGGTCTAGGATTGCAGCGGGCTGGGGTTGAAGCAAGGTTGAAGGGCAATATTTGAGAAAAAATGCTTTATAATGGATTTGAGGTGAGATTCAGATTCATGAGTTAGCGGAGGAGCTGTTGAAGTTATTAGAAGTGTTCTTTATAAGCATCAATGGAGGAACTGGCTGAAACTTGATTCACAAAAATGAAGATGACTAAAAATGAAAAAAATAAAAAAGTGACAAAACTGGACATGTGGCGTCCAAATGAGGCTTTAGATACAAAAATTTTACAGTTCATGTGCCTCATTTGTGTGTAAAATACGCGCTTGCCACGTAGTTAAAATAGTGTGTCATAGATATATTTTTTAAAGGTTGAATGTGTAAAGTTATTCTCGTAATCAACAGATGTGCTACAGAAATTTGGGGACAAGATCAGGTGGTATTTTATATATTGCCACTAATTAATTAATCGTGTTAAAATTTACACACTGTCAAATTAAATTGGTAGTAAGTCGTAACAAATTTCTTGTGATGTTTTAACAGCTAAAGATTTTGTTTATATATAGAAACTATTGTAATAAAATACGTTTCTCTATTTTATTTTATTTGACATTATTTCATTACTAGTTCGTTTCAAAAAATGGCACATCTCTTTTATAGCATGTTAAAAATCACATGAGAATTTTTTTTATAGTATGTAAAAATTTTTTATAGCAACATAAATATTACTAACATATCCAAAAATAAAAGTTTCGAAAATATTAATTACGCAAATATGACATATTTGATATTACAAATTTTATAATTTTAAAAACTTTATGCAAGTCAAATTATGTCAAACCAATTAAAAACAGCTAACTTTTTTTATTTCTAGGCGACAGCTTAAATAGTAATGATAACAGCATAAATAGTACTCCCTCCGTCTCATATTAGACAAGGTTCCTTATTCGTCTATTCCAAAATAAATGGTATATTTTTAAATTTAGAAATAATTCAACTTTAAACTATTCATTTTACCCTGAGAAACTTTTATAACCACACAAATATCATCGCCCCATAAAATTTTTACCCTTTAAACTTTAAAAACCACAAATTTCAAAAATCATTTTCTTAAATTCCATACCGAGTGAATAATGAAAATCTAACTTTCGAAGCTTATAACAGTCAGTTTCCTCAAATAAAGACCACTCTGAAAAAGCCATTTCCCTTTTACCTCTGCTGCCTACGTTTTTCTTCTCCTTTGCCTCCCTTAGTTTCTGCATCCCTTTAACTTCCTCAAAATCCTTTGGTTCTTAAACCACCCCACCCCNNNTTGGGTGGGGTGGGGTGGGTGGGGGTGGGGGAGGAGTCTGTTTGCCATCCCACCACTCCTCAAAGTACTTGTATTACTGTAAATGGTCATAAATATAAGCTTTAGGATGTAGGAAGTAATTAATATGCCTTAAATGCTCATGCATATTCTTAATGAAGTGAAGTATGTTTATGCATAACTTAATTGAGATTTAATTCCAAAGAACCATTGGACTTGACTTTAACCTTACAGAATATTTTGTATTACCAATTTGTGTTCCTGACTACCTAATCTTAAAAGCTTCTTCTTCGCGGCAATCTGTGCTATTGGCGTGCCAGTGCAAGGTGAATTTCCATGAATTGAATTGTGATTTTGCATGTTGATAGATGGACAGGGCTTCAATCTTAGGGGATGCAATCGAGTACCTAAAGGAGCTTCTGCAGAAAATCAATGACCTGCATAATGAACTGGAGGCCACGCCGTCTAGCTCTTCATTGACCCAAACAACAAGCTACTATCCTTTAACACCAACTACACCAGCTTTGCCAGGCCACATCAAAGAAGAACTCTGCCCGAGTTCATTCGCAAGCCCACTGTCTAGCCCAACTGGACAACCTGCAAGGGTAAAAAAGTCATTAGCCAATATCCGGTGAAGTCTTAAGTCATCATGTATTGGTTTAAGATGATGTAATGTAGAGTTTGTTGTACTTTTAGGTTGAAGTAAGAGCAAGAGAAGGAAGAGCCGTGAATATCCATATGTTCTGCAGTCGCAGACCAGGCCTCTTACTCTCAACAATGAGAGTTCTGGACAACCTTGGACTGGACATCCAACAAGCTGTTATCAGCTGCTTTAATGGGTTCGCCTTGGATATCTTCAGAGCTGAGGTAATCACTTTTTGTTCAATTTACAATGTTGGAACTCTTGGATTAGGAAATGCTTCACGTGAGCGGAAGTTTGTATCTAGAAAATTGAAATCTCATCAGTTCCTGCACAAAAGAATATCCTTCTGGAATGAGCAGAACCTATAACCATATTAAGCCTTTAAAATGGGAGCGACGAGGATAAGAAAGAGGATAACAGATTGTACTTATTCCTATTGATCAGTAACTCCAGATATACGATTTGATTATCAACTAACAGCTGACATATAACTTTTTACAAAGCAGTCCAAATTACTCATGGTATGTTATGTCGCCACGGAAATGAGCTCCACCATGATCAGGATATATGCCGCGAATTCTGTCCTCTGCCTTTCTTGATTGAGTACACCTCTGTTAGCGTCTCTATCCAGGAATCATGTTTTCTCCTCCACCTTTTTTCCCAATACCAAATCAAGAAAAAGAATATAGCACGATCTGTTGATGATTTGACATTTAATTGGTTTCTTATCCTTGCCCAGTTTAAACTTTAATGAGTCCTGGAACTGAATTCTTCTTCTGATGGTCATTTTGTGGTTCATGTAATATCAGCAATGCAAAGAAGGTCAAGACTTTCATCCTGATCAAATCAAAGCAGTATTGCTGGATTCAGCCTGCAGCCATGGGATGATATAAGCTTCTAAGGTCGACAAGGAAGACAATCTAGCCACCATTTTCAACTTTAGACTTTAACTAGTTGCTGTTCTCAGACTATTTTCAGTGTTCCTTTTGTACTTTTCTATATTTATCCAGCAGCCATTATTTTGTGTTTTCTTTAGGATAACCCATCTTTCAAAATTGAATGCTATTATCTGGGTCAATCGTTCCAAGTTCCAACATTGTGACGACCCAAAGGGTCATCACCGGATTTCTCTCTTTTTCCGTGCTTCCGAGGTCTCAAAAACCTCACCTTTAGTTGCCTCGATTTGCGTGCGCAGTCCGGGCGCGTAGCCGGAAAGATTATATGTTAAATTCTGTGAAAAATTTCAAAATGTGGCTTTAAAATGGTTAAAGTTGACCTTGGTCAACATTTTTGGTAAACGGACCCGGACCAGTGATTTGACGGTCCCGGAGGGTCCGTAGAAAAATATGGGACTCGGGCATATGCCCGGAGTCGAAATCCGAGGTCTAGAGCCCGGGAAAAGAATTTTTCTGTGAAATTGTTTTTCTAAAATTATTAAGGAAAATGGAAATGAAAATTGATTAAAAGACTGTGGTATCGGGCTCGTATTTTGGTTCCGACGCCCGGAACAAGTCTTAAATATGTGTTAAGCGCTCTCTGTAAAGTTTGGTCGAAATCGGACGTCATTTGACGTGTTTCGGACCTAAATATCTAAAGTTTGAAGTTTATGAAGTTAGAATGAAAGATGATGATTTTGGGGTTTGATTCAATGATATTGATGTTATTTTGGCGGTTTGATCGCTCGAGTTAGTTCGTATGAGGTTGTTGTTAATGTGTGTGTTGGGTTAGGAGCCCCGAGGGCTCGGGAGTGATTCGGAGGTGGTTCGGGGTGTTTTTGGCCTTAGGAAGTGTTGCAGAATTTCTGCAGTCAGTGCCCAGTCATTTTCTTCAATGCGATCGCATAGGTATGTCTGCGATCGCGTAGAGTTAATTTGGAGTCGCCCAGTTTTGTTCTATGCGATCGCGTTATAGGCCATGCGATCGCGTACCTCTGCAAATTCATTCTATGCGATCGCGCCCTTCCATTTTGCGATCGCGGTGTACAAAAATATCAGCCCCCATTTTAGTCTTATATGCGATCGCATTCCATGGCTCGCGATCGCAGTGACCAGTAACCCTTCCTCTATGCGATCGCAGTGCCCTTTCCACGATCGCATAGAGCAATTTCGCCCAGTGATTTTTAAATACCCAAAACAGAACATTGACGGGATTTTTCACCCAAAACACACGAACTCATCTTCTCCACAGCCCATAGGCGATCTTTAGAGCTCTTCTTCACCAAAGCTTCTTGGGTAAGTATTATCTAATTCGTTTTCTTCATTTTCTATCATCATTTATCAAATTCCTAGACCTAAAACATGTAATTTAGGGTGTAAATTAGGGGAAAAGGGTAGAATTAGGGTTTTTCAATTTTCTTTGATTTAGACCTCGTTTTGGGGTCGAATTTGAAAACAAATTGTATATTCGGGCTCGTGGGGGAATGGGTGACATGGAATTGGTTCGAACCTCGGGTTTTGACCAAGCGGGCCCGGGGTCGATTTTTGGAATTTTGGGTAGAAAGCTTAGAAATTCATATTTAGGCATTGGATTTAGTTTGTTTAGCTATTATTAATATTGTAAAGTCATTATTTCATAGATTTGACCGAGTTGGAGCCGAATTTGAGGGGTAAAGCTATACTAGAGGCTCGAGTTGATTTTGGAGCATTTGAGGTAAGTGTTTGATCTAACTTTGGCTTGAGGGAATAGGATTAGAGTGTTATTATGTGCTAATTGCTAAATGAATCGAGTATGGTGTATAGACATGGTGACGAGTATCTATACACCGGTGTCTAGCATGACCGTGGATCCTTGTATGTACTTATCCTGATATTGTTATGACTCTTCCATGTTAATTGATGAATTCTATGCAATGCGAAGAGTATGAGGACTAATTATGAATTGTAAATTCTTTGGAGCGTTGGCTCGAACGATAAAAAGACTATTGAGTGGGAAATGAAAGAAATAGAAAGTGATATGATTAATCCCTTGCCAGGATGGTTTGAGTATATTGATTATCTCCCTTGCTGGGATTTAGCTGTTAATTGTGTAATTCCCTTGTCGGGACATTTCTTATTATTTTTTTATCCCCTCGCCCCGTTTGGTTGTGATAACTGTTTGGGTGAGGAAGAGTGATAATGCACGAAGGGTCATTCCGTGCCATGTTTTGATTATATTTGCACGAAGGGTCATTCCGTGCCATGTTTTAATTATATTTGCACGAAGGGTCATTCCGTGCCATGTTTTGATTATATTTGCACGAAGGGTCATTCCGTGCCATGTTTTGATTATATTTGCACGAAGGGTCATTCCGTG